CCTGCAAGTCCAGTCAAGTGTTTCAGGTAAAAGCAGTTTCTTGCTCCACTGGCTAACAAACTACTTCAGGAGCCTCTTCAATGCCCATCCTCCTCTTGCAGTAAACTTTTGCTGCCTGGATCAGATGTGTCTCACTATCATAAAAAGTGCTAAGTTATTAAAAATATTTTAAATGTCATATTCTACAGTTTTTGAAAGATCTAAAGAATATATCCATCTGAAACATATCTCTGTACTTCTAGAGAATCTAATTAATATGACTATAAGACTATAAGCTTGACTGTTATATCCCTTCTCAGGTCTTCAATGAAGTTAAAGATTAGATAGTTGTAGTTACTGTACTCTTATGATCTAGCCAAGTCATTTCATATAAAAGACTTAGACTCCTCAGGATAGGATGTTTATTAAAACATTTAGTACATGTTCCTTGCTTAATATTGTTTATTCTGGTTATAATTCTAATTATACTTGATATCTGTTCCTAGTGTATATAGTTTGGTCTATGGTTTGGAATTCTCTTATTTAAATAAAAGGGAGAGGTGTGATGGAGGCACATTCCACCCATTAAGCCAATAGCCTTTAAGATACCAGCCCACTTGGGCATGTTCTCTGAAACTCTAAAAGCAGTTGCAAAGCAAGCACCAGCTCGCTTGCTTCCAGCTCCTACTTCTGGCTGCTAGACTCTGTTCCTGTTTGCACAGAAAACTGTTTTCTTGGACAGTGATCTGTAAGTTTTCCCCTTAAATAAATAACCCTTTTATTATTCATAGTTCTGAACTGGTGTGGGATTATTTTGTGATTTCCATCTTCAGTTAACCAATAGGAAGCTAGAGTTAATAATCCAAGGAGTGATTTAAATAATATAGTTTCTGTGTGATTATTTCAAGGATGAGCAGCTGTGAACAAACAAACAGCCTCCAACAACATTCCTTGAGGTGCTGATAAAAAAGCTTATTCTTTAGTATTTGGGTGAAATGTTCTGTTGGTATTTGCTAGATCCATTTGCTTCATAACATCTGCTAGTTCAAGTACTTCACTATCTAAGTTTTGTCTTGATGATCTGTCATTGGTTCAAGAGGGGTATTGAAGTCTCGTTCTATCCATGCGGAAGGATTGATGTGTGATTTAAGCTTTAGCTATTTCTTGTGGGTGTCTTTGTGATTGGGGCATAGATATTAAGAATTAAAAATTCATCTTGGCTGAATTTCTTTTGATAAATATGAAGTATCCTCTATCTCTTTTGATTAACTTTGATTTGAAGGATATTTTGTTAGATATTAAAATGACTAAACTAGCTTATTTCTTAGGTACATTTGCTTGAAAAGTCTTTTCCCAACCTTTTACTCTGAGGTAATGTCTATATTTTGATGTTGAGGTGGATGGATCCTGTTTATCCATCCATTTTGTTAATCTTTAATTTTTTATTAGAGAATAATTCCAATGATATTGAGAAATATAAATGATTGATTATTTTTAATTTCAGTTATTATGTTGGTAATGGCAGTGGTAGAATTGCATGCATGTGTGTTTCCCTTAGGCATTTGCTGGTTGATATTTTTATTACCTGTATTTTCATAGGTGTAGCTAACCTCCTTAGGTTGGAGTTTTCTTATAAATCTTCTGTGTAGCTGGATTTGTGGATAGATGTTGTGTGGTTATACTGTCATAGAATATCTTGTTTTCTTGATCTATAGTGATTGTACGGATATATATATATATATATATGTATATATATACATACATACATACATACATATATATATATTGGGTAAAGCAATCTTTGATGGCATCTCTGGTCTCGTAAAGTCTCTAAGACATCTATATACTTCCTTGTGGCTTTTACTGTCTCATTGAAATTTGGGAGAATTCTAAATCAGCATATATATATATATATATATATATATATATATATATATTGTAGAATTTAATGTTACCTCTTTGTTTCATGTGTGTAGTGTTTTGAGTATTCTGTGACAATGAGACTTTCTTTTCTGATCTAATCTATTTGTTTTTCTGTAAACATCTTGGACCTTTATAAAGCATCTCCTTCCTTAGCTTAGGAAATTTTTCTTCTATGAACCAAAATAACCACACAGAAACTGTATTAATTAAATTACTGCTTGGCCCATTAGCTCTAGTTTCTTATTGGCTAACTCTTATATCTGCATTTAACCCATTTCTATTAGTGTGTGTATCGCCACATGGCAGCGGCTCAGAGGGTAAAATTCCCAGTGTCTATCTCCTGTGGATCCATGGTGTACCCTGAGTCTGCCCTTCTTCCTCCCAGTATTCAGTTCTGTCTTCCCCCTTACCTAAGTTCTCCCTATCAACAGGCCAAGGTAGTCTCTTTATTCATTAACCAGAAAATGCAACACACAGGCAGAAGAACCTCCCACACCAATGTATTGTGCTCATACATCTGTAAATATCAGTGAGGGAACAACTGAATAAAATGATGCACTCTTCACTATAGTACACATTACTTGTCCACAGTCCCTTAGAGGGGTGTAAGATCATATAGGTTTCTCCCATATGTTTGATTTTATGTAGAAAAATGTCATCTTGTGCAAGTAACGGCAGTTTCATTGAGCTCACAAGTGTCAGGTTAAGTCCAGGATAAGCTGTTTTATAGCACTCCCTACCATCTTCTTACTCTTATGTTATTTCTGCTTTGTCTTCTGAAGTGTACCCCAAACCTCATAGGGGTGATCTACTCTTCTATACCAACTAACACCTGATTTTTATCTAACAACTTCAAGTTGGTGTAAAACCCTGCATTAACAGTCACCCACAGTCATAAAAAGCTGCTCTGGTGAAGGCTGAAAGCATCACTAATGTAGAGATATATAGGTATCAGTATAATTTTTAATAGTTCAATGAGTCAAATCCCTGAAAGCAAGCTATATAAGATGGAATCTCCTGGGATAAACATGACCAGTAAGTTTCTGGGTCTCACCCTTTGATTGTAAGGGAAACATTAACTGAAGTAGCTGTGTGTCTTTGGGTTAGTCCTCATATCTTTCATATCTCAATCTTTGTCTTCCAAGTCATGTGGCAGTTTCAATTTAACCTCCTTGTTGTGCAAGGATCCCAGTAAAGTCCATCTACAGAGATTCTAAAGCCTACTCTCTCACCAATAGATAAACTAGAGGGAGTTTTGAGATACTTCTTAGGTAGGGAAAAAACCTTTATCAATACACAAGTAACAGAAGGCTTATGATTACCTTTCATCTCTTCCAAAAATTTTTCTTCTTCCTTGACTCTCAGAGGAAAGTTGAGGAAGAAGAGTAGAGTTGGGGAGAGTAGCAGAAAGATTTGGACATTAAAGTTACCACTTTTCAGAAAGACTGAAAGTCATTTCCTATCATAGCTATGTACAAGGGACACAGAATGCATAGGAGATTGCTGGTACTATGTTAATATCCTATATAGGCTCAGAAGTCACTCGTGGCCTAAAGCTACTGAATACCTTCCCTTTTTTAGCTCTTTATCCTACTTCCATACCCTGGACTACACCTTGTATTTCTTTGGTTACCTTTTTATTATTTATATGTTTGTTTGTTGGTGTGGACTACCTGTTGACAGTTGCTACTTGACAAAGTTTTATGATTTTGAACTTGCAGACCACACTTGTCCATCATGGATTAATTTTCCTTTTTAATGATTCTCACTATTTATGCTTTCCCTTAAGGAAATCTTTTGCAGGCTTTGATAAAAGATGAAAATGTATACAACAGTAGTCTCTCTAAACAAAGAATTATGATGTGGAATTTGAATTGCTTGAATATGTTTTATTACCACTGGTCAATAAAGAAGCTGCTGCAGCTTACGCAATGTCTAGATGGACTGGCTAGTGAGCTCCTGGGCTCTTCTCTCTATATCTGTAAATGCTGGGTATAGAGGTAGCTCTACCATATCTATCTTATTATATCAACTCTGAGGATTGAAACTCAGGTACTCAGACTTACACATGAACAGTTTACCCAAACAGTTATCCCCACCCAAAATCTTTTTTCTTGAGATAATTTTCTCAAGTGTTTTATCACAGTGGCAGAACAGAAAAAGAAAGAAAGACATAATCCTTTAATACTAGTTTTTCTTCTCTAACAACTGTGTTGAACCTGGTTATAAGCTTCATAAAACAGTCTAAGTCAGAGGACTCACAGCCATCTCACAATGTGTTTACTTATTTAGTAGAAGAAACACATTTATTGTTGTGATCCAGCTGCCCTCACTCACCCTGACTAACAGCGGAACTTCCTTGTGGTCTGTAATTGACAATCATGTTTGTGTTCTTTCTGGCCTGTGAGTCTCTACAGAAGGAGTAGAGGTATAAAAGGTTGCTGGGCAAAATAAAGGTTGTTGTTCTTCCACCTGAAAAGAAGCCTTCGTGTCTCAATCCCAGCACCCCCCTCCAGTCTTGGCTGGCCAGGCTGCGCTGGCCACAGCAATTTATCCTAGAATTAATTAAACCAAGGTAATTATGAAATAGAAATAAAAATATGTAGCTATTATGACATGTACTCATTTTTACATGCACTAAGTTTTGACATGTAGCAAAATAGATAAAAATAATCTATCCTAGATATCTGAGCAGTTCTGAAATGTGAAATGTGTAGTTTTTGTTGCTTTGTGATAAGAACTGGCATTTAAATGATGTTGCTTTTCTATTTTTATAGTAATTCCTATTTCTTTGTGTAGAAAAGATAACTCTCTGGTTTCAACAATCATGTAAGAACAAAGGAGAGTGGATAACAAAAATGTTGATTATTTAATTAAGCATTGCCCAGGATCTATGCTAAAGTACATACTTGAGATTCCATGTCCCTTATTTTACTGCAATTTCTCTGGAAACCTTCAATTGTTTTTCTGCATTTGACTAAAATAAAAGTTGCAATGAAGAAAACATGATGGGAGACAACAGTAACTTCTCACTGAAGAAATGATGGGAAAAGATCTGACCCAGTAGGATTTGGAATAGGTAAGCAAGAATGTGGGCACACCGTTTATTGTTAGGACAAAAAGAAAAGGGTTAAGATAAGACCCAGGGACTCGGTGGTAGATAGGAAATGCTCATTTAATGAATGGTATTCTCAAAAGCCAAAGACAGCAGGAGTCACAGACACTTTCAGGAGACTATTGGCAGCTTGCACAAGCATGGGGATGAAGGATCCTGTGAGGAGGGCAAAAAAGAGTCATAACTATGGGACATGGGAGGAGAGGAAGGCTCTTTTTTTTAAGCCTTCTTCAATTATTCCCATTGACCTTGATTTAACTTCAAGCAAGGTACCAATTCTATACCTTTTCTTGTTCTGATTCTATTTTTGTCTATTCTGTCCACAGCAACACAACAACTAGTACATAATAAACATCCAGGAGTACTTGTTACATGCCTAGGACTAGTTTTATTCAATTAAATATCCACATCTATGTTCCTTTCCTCTGCTTATCTTGTACCTACCGCCAAGTATATGTCATCCTAATCCTGGAAAGGAAGGATTAGTTGAGGAAACAGACAATGCTCTGAGATAACATGGTAGTGGCAACTATGTGAACTCTCTAGTATTCACCCTCTGCTACACATAAAGGCAGAGCTTTTGGCACACATCTGGAAAAAAAGGAGAGGGTGGCCTGTATCCTACCTGCATTGTCATGGAGCCAGGCCACTGCCTTCCTTTCTAGAAGCTCCCACTCACACTTCAAGTCCTTGCCATTGGCGTGTAGCCAGAGGACAGCCAGTACTGTGGCCCACATTGAAGGGTCCCTATCCTGCAAAATGAACAGAACCTTCTGTGATGTTCTAGGCAGGCCAGCAATCCACTTGGGAGGAAGCAGAAAGATATATTATTTTCTTCTTCATCACTCCCTAATATGTGGCCACAAGGAATTTTGGGCCCATCTTTACCAAACAGCCTGAAGGAACCTCAGGACAACTTTCAGTTACCATGTAGAAAAGAACAGAAGTTGCAAATTCATTGTAACCATCATCACATTCTTCAAGACACCACAAGAAACTCAGTACACAGACGATCAGACTGTACAATGTAATGAAATTTTATATTTGACTTCTTTTAAAGTATTTTTTCGGTAATTTTTCTTTGTGTACACTCATGGCAAAACAAACACCCCCAAATATAAAACCAAACAACATAACAACAACAAACTGCTTTAATGAAAACCCAACAACACATTTCAAAACATAAATGCAATCAATACAAAAATGAAATTAGTTTTCCTAAATTAGTTCTGTAGTAATGATGGATATTGGAATGTAGGCCCACTATTAGTCACCAGTCATATTTCTAAGAGAGACACTTAAGGCATCTTGCTCAGAATTCTATGCAAAACTAACTCTGATTTTTAAAATGTAGTTCTTGAATCTTTACAGCTTTGGATAAATGACTTATGAAAATCCGTAATCATAGCCCAAGAATGAAGTTCATCTTGAGGAATCTTGGTTCAGATCTATTGCTTCACATCTCCTATGGTCATATGACACCTCTGGGTTCAATGTGTAACTATTCTCAAGTCCGTTGGTCTGCCAACTACTCATATAATTGATGATTAAGAAACAAAAGCATTTCTTGACTTCTATTTTCTGCCATATAATTTTTATTAGATTTTCTTCATGAAAACTTAAATATACTGAATAGAGATACAAGGGATTGTGATTTTTCCTATAAATCATCATTTTTTCTGTCATATCATAAAAATTGATAGATTATATTCTAGCTTCATTAACATCATCATTGAAAATATAGACATGTTAACATTTAGAGCTTAGTTGGTTCAAATTTAGGTTCATATTTTGTCATCAATTTGATATAATATAGTACTACTTTTAAGTGAACTATATCCAATCAGAGGATCTGTCATTTTAAATATTTAAGTTTCCAAATGAAATTTAGATAACACCATGAGATATTTGCTCAAATTTACTATTCTTTTTTTTTTTTTACTTGATTCAGTTCATGACCTCTTATTTTCTAGAGGTATGTTCTGCTGGTGACCAATGTCTCCAGCTAGTAGTGAATCTTATTTTTAAAAATTAAAGGTTAAAAATGAATTATCATTTTGTCAAGCAGTGAATGTAAAACAATTTCGATGAAATATTTTCATAGTTTTACCCTAAGTATTTATGTAAGTTTGCATTTTCAGCATAGATACTTCTGTTAACTAAAACATTTGTATCACATACATATAGCCAGCCAAAACTAGAAGAGACAGTACAAGTAGATAACTAAAGAATACGTGAAGTTTATTTTATTATGTCTCACATTCTAATAAAGCAGAACAATATTTCTTCTTCACTATTAGTTAAATGTTTTATTGAAGAGGATTTTTTTCCCAAATAGTATTAGAAGACCCAAAAGGTAAGCTAAAATTCTAAATGAAGTTTATTTCTTATTTAACCTATTTAAGAACATTTAAAATAAACAATACTGGTACTGTTATTGGAGTCTCTGCAGACAGGATATCCTAGCATTGAATCTAGTTCTGCAATGACTAGTGCAAAGTATTCATGTTCTTAATACTTATTTCTTCATTTATACATAGCCATATAAATAGAACATGCCTTAACAAACAGAATCAGGAAAAATAAGTATATTAATATTAAGAATACTAAGTGCTTAAGAAACTATCTGGTTCCGTGTGAAGATAAAATGATATTTTTACAAACATATCTAAGGGAATATGATAACACAGAAGAGAATTTTCTTTCCCTTTGACATCCATGAGTCTGATCATACCTTACAACAGCTAAGCTATTAATTTCATGTTGTTTATACTCTGGCTTAAATGGAATTAATTTCACCTTCTAGATGATACACATTAATTTCACATTTGCATTATCTATATTCTTATTTCTTAGCTTGGCCCTTGTTCATTTCAATTTCTATCATTATCCTACCATCATGAATCACACACACACACACACACACACACACACACACACACACACAGAGAGAGAGAGAGAGAGAGAGAGAGAGAGAGAGAGAGAGAGAGAGATACCACTTTGTATCTCACCTTGGCAGGGTTTGCAGCCTTGATATCTTCCAAACTAGTGTCCAGGATCTTGGACAGATCCTCATCCAACTCCCAGGAGCCATTGGCATTTTGAAGTGAAATCAGCTGAATAGCAAAATTTTCTCCAAAACCTTTTGTGAAAAAAATGAAAGAGATATCATAGGAAATTATAGAGGTCCTGTGATCACAGGCCAACCAAGAAAGTCCTCTGAGATCAGAGATTATAGTGAGACTTCTGCAGGATATCCACTGACTAGTCTGTAATGGGTGGTTAGTTGATCTGGGCACTGAAGACAATAGCAGCAGAGTCTTCTGGAGTCAGGAATTGATGACAGGTGGACTGTGTAGGCAGACATTGGTAAGAGGACTCAAAAAATTAGAGCTCACTCAATTACAGTAGATTAGGAGGCATCAAGTATTGTATCAATTGTAAATTACAGTAGGTTAGAAAATATCAAGGTATTATAAACTAATGAAGCTTGATAATTTCTGGCAAATATATGTAAATGTCATATCTCACCTCCTGTCTGATGCCTCTAATAATTCACTCCATAGACAGAGAAAGCTCCAAGATAAAGAGGATGGTAGGTTAGTTTGTGAATGCCAGAAGTCAGGGACTTAATCTGAGGCCCATTTTACCTTTCTTGTTGTTTTGAAAGTTGGCTTTCTTGGTGTAAGAGTCTGATGTTTTCACCATGCCTACAGATTCTAATTTTCTCTTATTAGGACTTAAACGGTCATAAAATCCAACACCTGTGACAAACAAACTTTGCTGAGAAAACTGTTCCTAGGAAAAACTCCCTCAAACTCAGAGTAAGTCTTTATGGCCTCTCAATATGCTCACCATATTTGGGTAATGGAAACATTTCCTCACTCTCGTCCAATACTTCATCTGCGAAGTCGGAAAATGAACCCGGCGAAGGCTCATCATAGTCTGTGTTGTGCAGCAAGAAAAGACTTTAAAAATGTGAGTATTCCAGACTTGAACCCGTCAGCTTCCATCTAACAATGATGTTTCATTACAGTGTATCCTTCTCCAATATGGAGACATATCGGATCATTCTACTTCCTATTGACTTTTCTAGAACTTCTGACCTGTGCTGAACAATCACAGCTGTGTCTTACCTGCAATACTGAAGGATTCTTCCAGACAACCCTCAATTTGAAAAGCTCTTTTACTGTCTCATAAAGCTATTTTATGTCTGTCCATTTCAAACAAAGCTCAACCCTTAGGACCCAGGTTCAGAAGGTTAGCTTGGCAATTGTCTAAGCGTAAAATAAATCCTTCTCTCACACCTGGGTTGTCTTCTGTATGTCCCTACTACTATCAACCATCAAGTAATAAAATCACCTCCTGCCAGTATCCAAAGTACACAAAAGTCATGCCACAGGCTCCCAGTGGACTCTAAGCTCTTTTGTAAATTTGAGCATTTTCATCACCCATGTTTCTTAAAAGAAAGATGTTGCCTTCCTCAGACCCAGTACCTATTGCTCTAACACCGATCTCCCAGACCCTCAAGTCAAAGGTATTATTCAGAATTGTTTTTGTATAAAAAAATTTAAGTTTATTTTGAAAAACAGCAACATATTTCTAGTCATTTAACTTAGGGTTTCCTTTATAAAATTAGTCTTTGACATGACCTTCTAAGTCTCTGATTCTTATATTTTTTCCAAATATATCACCCTCATTCAAACTTTAACTTTTAATCAACCTCAATTTCAATCAAGCAAATCATCTCCCTCTTCACTATCTTCAATCTTAGCCACAACTTCTAATCATCAGAGCTATAGAAAAATCCCACTTTATAGAAATCAATTCATTCCTTAACCCAATTTATTCTTAAAGTTGATGACACCTGCTGTAAATTATTGGGAAAGCCAAATACTCTAATTAGGGCTTATATATAATGAAACAGGCACCAAATACATCTTTACCTTATGCCATCTCAGCCACTGACTAGACATCAAGAACAGAAGTTAGATTCAAATTAAAAGATTTGTTAAACCAATGTTTATAGATGCTCTTGAATCGTAGTATGTCCTGATCACCTTCTGTACATCTGTAATAAATCTCTGCCCCAGATAGACAGAACCTATTTCTCTTGAAAATTTAAAGTAAGTCATACATTGTAGGTATGGAAGGAAGAAGAAAACATAACAAATTTAAGAAATGCAATTAAATTCAAAGTTTTATATTGTGAAATTTATTATCATTTATATTATAGGCTTAGATATTTAAGAACTATTATAAAAGAGTTTAAATTGGGATAAAACTTACTATAATCAAATCCACATACGGCCAAATCTTGAAGCATCCTTGGCCAAAAAATCGCTCTGTGAGCCAGAGGCCCCTGCACTGGCTGATTGACCTCCTTGTTAATGGCAATGAACGCTGTGAAGGAGCTGAGGACCCCAGACTGAATGCTGATGTTCACCACATCCTCCTTTTCTCCTTCTGAAGTCTCATGGGAACCTAAGTCCTTCCTCTGAATCAAGGACTTTGCAGCCAACCGATGAATGGTGAAGCTGAAAGAAAATACTGGAGAAAATTAAAGAAAAGCAACTTCAAGTGAAGTTCCAAAGACTTTTTAAAGCTAGTGATTGCACCTGAAAAGGAGTGTGGAGACAAAGACTTTAGATGAATGAATCAGGAAACGAAGAGCTTAGAGGAAGCACCAGAGCAGAGTGACAATAATATCTGAGAATGGCAGAGGAAAAAGAAAGGGAGTGTGGTGACCTCAATAAGAATGGCCCCCTCAGACTCAGGGGTTTGAATGCTTGTCCAATAGGAAGTGGCACTAATGGGAGGTGTGGTCTTATTCTTGCAGGTGTATCCTTGGAGGAAGTGTGCCATTGTGGAGGTAGACTTTAAAGTCTCAGATGATTGAGGCCATGTAAGTAGCCTATGCAATATTTTGATTCAGTGTGGCATTCCTTTTTTTACTGCCTCAGATCAAGAGGTTGAACTCTCACCTCTTTCTCCAACACCATGTCAGCCTGCATGCCACCTTGCTTCTTGCCATGACAATAATGGTCTAACCCCCTTTACCATAAGCCAGTCCCAATTAAATATTTTCCCTTATAAGAGTTGTTGTCCTTTCACGACAATAGAAAACCTAACCAAATCAGTGAGAGAAAGAAAAAGAAGAGAAGGGAGAGGTAGGGAAGTGTGGAGATGGAGAAGCAAAGCTGAATTCTTACCTGTTATTTGCCTTGGGTTGTAGGGAAAATGTCACCCTGTTTTCAAGATTCCTATCCTGGAGGGTATACTTGAGGCACACTTCTCCTGAGCTCTCCACTTGCTACAAGGAAGAGGAGAACCAGAGTGGCAAAACAGTCACACAACAAGGAAAATGGTGAGCACTAGGGAAGCTCCTGAACTCAAGGCAATGTTACACTAAGAATCATGTACTACAAGATAACATATAGTGGGCATGAAAGAGAGGATGGGAGTATTGGTGCCTGGCAAGTGACATATCTTGTTGAAATCCCAAACAAACATCTGTGGCCATTAAACTGCTGACACAGTGTTTCATTAAGTAAGTGAATAAATAAAAATTTGAACTCACAGGCAGAGTCCCAGTCAATTGGGCATAGATGATTAACCTCTGACCCCTAAAGATGACAGTATGCTCTGGTGAAAGCATGGTAGCTGACAGACCAGGAGGCAATTTCCAGCTCAGAGAAATGTCATCCACTGATGCGTTTAGAGCAAACTTCAGAGACCCAAGAGCCTGTTGGAGGAGAAAAGAGCCAGAATTATATACAAGAAAGACAATAATGGCAGTCATCCATTGAGTATTTATCAGGACCTAGGATGCAAAGTATGACTTATTTAGTCACCAATGCTAAGAGAAAAAAGCAATTCTCTCTCTGATTATATGTCTGGAAAAGTTATACTTGAGAGATGTAAAATGCAGGTGTGAATGTGGGCAATAGTTAAGGAAGGAGACTTCTTCAAATATGAGTTAGAGAATGGATATGAACAACATGGAAAGTTTAGCTGAGATATATGATCAGAGATGTCTTGCATTTTTGTATACTAATAATCAAATGTGAACTCATTATGCCTTTGAGTCTATCACATACACACAAACACACACAGAGATACACACACACACACACACACACACACACACACACAAACACATATACAAACACACCTGTCTTTTCTTTTGTGCCTTTTGCATGGATAATGAATTTCTACCTGATCTGCTGAGAACACAGACTAGTCTCAGACAGAGCCATCAAAGCTTTCACCTTCTTCCTCGTTTGGTAAACAAAAGTCACAACTTCTTTATCTATTTGCTCTCTGGATCTCCAGCTACTACTGTCTGATGCCAGTCTTTAGGTATTAGAGTGGAACACTTTTTAACAAAGTATCAAGTAGCTCATTATGTCTGTGGCCTGAGACTCATAATAGTGTGTCCTCCAGGAGAATGGATCATGTGACTTTGCAGCAGTCTCCCTTCCTTTCTTATACACTCTGTACATTCAACTCTAGACACTCTGCCTACTCTCACCTTGGTCTGCATCCTGTCCTTGTCTGTGATAAACTCTGCCTTGCCACCTGACACCCGGGCAATGCTTTTGATTAAACTGGTGGAGGCTCCTTCTCCAATACCAAATGAGAAGCATCTGCAACAGAGACATGAAGAACATTAGACACAGATTTTCCATAAAAGAATTATCAGTTAACATGTACTGGTAAAGATGTCAAAGTCAGTGCAATACTATAATCTTTTTTTTTTTTTTTTTTTTTTTTTTTTAGAAATCAGATTCTATTTCTATGGACTTTATTAAACATTTAAATAAATGAAACAAGGTTTTTTATAATGAAAGGCTTATTTCCATTTGTTAATGAAGATTTGAGGCTTGGGACATTTGAAATATTTGTTCTAAGTTCTGTTTTTTTCTTTATCTATGAATTTCCTCTAGTAAAGTCAAGTAAAAATATAAATATTTTTCAAAATTAAATAGGCAAATGCACTGACACCGTAGGTGATATATTCAGTATTTGTGGATTTTTCATTAATGTGAGTCATCAGCTTTAAATCCCGTGACATGGGACATTAGAAATAGTGTTTTCCATATGGAAGTTTGAGGACCAAAGTTTATACTGCAGTTTTATTCCTTCTTAATAACCTATGAAGCAGTAACTATGGTCTTTAGCATTTTTAAATTGATTGATAAGACAAACTGATTGGTGGAGTTTCCAGCACTTACTCTGGCAGATGAGCTGAAGACAAAATATACAAACTCTTAGATTCTGACAATGAAGAACTTATACAAGGATCAAATAAAACACTGAGTTCTACTCACAGAAATACTTGACTAAGTTATTCAAGTCAGAGAGAACTAGAGACCTATAAACAGTAATTCTAGCAATTCTTGTAAAGGCAGACAACTTCTAAGACAAGAGGCTCCAATAACTGCTTAGAAATATGAAGCTAGAAGCTAATACCTGGATATGGTGTTTGGAAATGAGAAATAAGCCTGTATATTTTGTCTCCTTACCATTTGAATCATGTGGCAAGTACGGATGGCTGAGCACCTAAGCTGTTTTAGAGAAAGTAGAAAAGTTGTAGATTTTTAAGTTTTGTCAGTGAGAGATGTCCCTGAAAACACCTGAGGATATTTCACAAACAAATGTAGAAATACTAACACCTGGGAGACAGAGATGATGAGAAATGGTCCAGCCATGAAATTCATCAAGCTTTATCTGCATTCAGGCTTTTGGCTCCTAGTCTAGACACACATTGAAATCAAAGAATACGACCTATCAGGCAAAAAAATCCATCTAAATACAATAGTCCAAAAACATCTACAAAGTCCAGTATGTTCGCCTAGCACATTGGCCATTTCTAATGAACAATTAAGTAAGAAAATTTTCATAAAATAGTAAAACGGCAATGTTTATAGTTCATTTTTATGCAAGGAATACAAAGATACCCAAAACCTCACAATATAATTTAAAATTCATTTGATTATGGCACCCAAACATTTGGTGAGACTATCCACATAAAGACTAAAAAAAAAACCACTTTTTTAAAAAAGGCTTCAAGACCCACAAAAGCAGGAGTCATTTGGAGCTTTTTGTAAGCCACACATTTTCAGATAGGCTCTGTTTGCTGGTGGTAAGCGGGGGGAAAGCTCCTCTAATAGAAGTCTTCTGGACTTAACCTTAGCAGCCAAATCTGCCTGGTTTGGGTTGGTAGCACAAATGGCTCTGGTTCTTTCAAGAGTTCCTGCGATGGAGAACTTAAATGGGTTTTGTGAGTAACATGTTAAAAGTTGCTTACTAATGACATAGACCTGCTGTATCCCTGGAATTGGGTCAATAAACATGGTTCACAGGATATACCTCTCATACCTCTGCCATATTGGATGGAGTGGAGCCAGGAGGCAAAGTTACAGCCTTAGTCCTAGACATGCTAGCTTAGAATATAAGAAACAAACAAACATAAACAAAACAAAACAGAAAACCACAATTCTCCTGGTCAGATAATGATTACAGATACATACTAAGACAGATTCAGACAAAAAGACCTCTGTATGTGTCACAGTGTTGGATTAGAAGAGAGATAAGAAAGAATAATGACAGTACAGACATTCATAGATTAAAAAATAAAAATAATAAGGTATATATTAAAAATAGAGTAAAAATAAGCCATGTAAAGGCAGAATAACATTGCTTTTGCTTTGGATTTACTGACCTTTAATAAGTGAACTGCTGAAAAAAATTGATTCTGTGGACTGCTAAGCTAAACCAACATATATATTATAAAAGTATAATATCTTCAAAAATTGAGTCTAATGATATGCTACTTTGGAAAAGAGGTTCTGCTTCGGTTTCCAGAGAGGATTAGAACATGTGGATTCCATCCCGGTTAATCTGGTTTGATGAAACAAGACCCTCCAAAATTGTAAGAGAGATAGTCTACGTGTCTGAAGAAGGCTTTACCTTGGAAATCTGGATTACTAAATAAAACCCCAATGCCAGGAAAAGGATAGCCCCTTATGAGCTGTTGGTCAACGAGTCACAGAAAATAAGACAGAGTCTAGCCATTCTTCATGATTGCCAACCTAAGAGAAATGTGGAGATACTAATGCTGAAGCAACAACAACCTTGGTTGTATGATATAGGGAAATCAAGAAATACAATAAAGGCTGCTGAGAGTTGAAGCACGATTAATAAAAATAGATATTGGGGTTCAATCTGAACACCAGAAAAGCAAAATAGTCTGACACTGGCTCTTACTTAGACCTCAGTCCAAAAATAGTTATATTGCCTCCAGGAAATCTCAGAATAAGACTGAGACTGAGAGCTGTCTCTTCCTGTTTTATAGTCCTCTCTAGTTCTGGGATTGAGGGTGTGTAACACTACTACCTGGTTTCTATGACAAACTTGCATGGCTACTGGGATAAAAAGTGTGTGTTATTGTGGCTACTGGGATTATAGGTGTGTATCATTGCTGCCTGGTCTGTAAAGATGGACAGTGTGACTGTTATACTTTTGTGATATTCAGGGAAGCTTTATTTATTAAAATACAAATTAAAGGCCACTATAGGGAGAGAAAAGACAACAATGGTCTGAACCATCTTTGAGCCATACAAAATATAATACCATCTGCCAGGGACAGTATGCTCACTGATGCAATACTTGCATGACCATTATGGGAGTGACATCCTAAGAATCAGTGAAAGATGTAGTCATTGCCCTCAGTAGTATACCCAAGGTTAAACCCACCAGAATTCAACAGTCATTTCTAATCCAGTGGTCATAGAGATGACACTGATTAAATAAAATTGGTCATGCTATAAAACAAAAAGACAAATCTATAAGAAGAACAGGTAGGGAAGGGAAGATTGATAGAGATGGGGGGAAATAGGAAAGAATGGGAAGAAATAGTAACCAGAATGTATATGTATATACATTCTGGTTACTATATATATCTGATAAAGAACCAATATAAAGAGCAAAATCCTTTGAAAGGAAAATGTAAAACATCTAGAATAACTTGAATAAAAAAAACTTAACAGAACACATACAAAAGTCATAATCCTAAAGAAAAACTTCAGAGACTAGAAATTCAAATGATAATTACTTGAGTCATGGATGGTAGCCCATGGCTCAATCCCAAAACTCTAGAGGCAGAGACAGGCAGAATAACACCCAGTGAGACCAGCCTGAGGTAGTAAAGGAGTTCCAGACCATTCAGAACTGGACACAGAATCCTATCTTAGAAAACAAAGAAGAGGAAACAGTCTTGATAGTGAAAATGTACGCTACAGAATAAGAAAATAGCTATCAGTATATTCATATTCAAAACATAAAAACAAATACATCTTAGTAAAAACAGGAAATATACTAAAGAAGACAAAAACAGAAGTATAGAGATTTGAAGGAATATCAAAAGAGGCCACTCTATTGCCTATTAAATATTAAAAGTACTATGAAGTAGATTTGTCAGGAAAATAAATCATTAAACCCAGAGACAGTCTGGTCCCATGCACAAAACTGGCTAAATTTTAAGAGCATAAATACCCAAATTATGTGGAGAGAAAGTTACTGGAAACCATTTGTCAAGTCGATGAGAGTTAAATTATTACTACCATTTCACAAAAATTGGACAACTCTGTCTACTTAAAGAACAGTACATTTGGGTATGTTCATGTGACTGTGCTTTACATTCTGCAGTGTTGGGGTCCAGTATTACTTTAAAATACATGGCAACATGCACCTTTAGCTGACTCATATCCTTCCATATAAATCAAATCACCAGTAGATGGCTTGGGATATGTAATACAATCACTACAGAGTCCAACGAAAGTCGATCATTATGAACATCTATATAATATACACTGAGCTACTTCAAAGAAAAACATACCCTTGTGCAACTTGACTATGGTTCCATGTAAACTAAGTGTACATCTAAACAAACTGGTGAAATTATAAATAAAAGTGAGATATATGGAAAGTCATGCATACTACAAAACTCAGTATAATACCAAATCAAGAAGACTTCACATAATTCACAAAGGTTATTCTTGAGCTAGGTTTAAATTAGTGAGTGATGGAAAAAGAGCAAAAGACTGATAACTGTCTAGTGCTAGACCTGTGATATGTGAGCAGAGTGCACACTTTGACAGTTCATCTACCCTGTTAACAATGATTTAAGTAACTTTCTATTTTAAACTGTCAGTACCTAAGTAATGAAAAAATAATTCAATATATCCTTCAGAGCTTTGGAAAAATAAGGTCTAATGACCTTTTGGAGTCAATGTTAAGTGGAAAACTATTTTTTTAAAACAAAATTATAAAAATTAAAGGGCAGCTAGTTTACTGGAAAATCCTTGAGTCACTCTGTCCTTTTAGAAACGTGAGACCCCATTATAACATGTGGAAGAACCCCTATGTGGTGCTGCTTAGGGTCCAAGCAGAACTGTAGAAACCATACTCCCCCATACCTGTGCTTCTTGCTGTTTAACTGAACTTCTTTAATGACTCTAAATGTGTCAGCAACTTCTCCATCTGTGAAGACGAAGAGCTGAAAGGAAAGAAAGAAAGAAAGAAAGAAAGAAACCCAGATGTATTTATCAAGCTTCTGTCAAGTTCAATAAAGGCAACAGCTTTGGTCCTCATGGCTCACAACTTTTTCCAGTCTTTATAACTTCTTCACACAGGGCTGGGGACCCTAGTGCTCCACTGTCATTTGCTCAGTGCTGCCACAGAGACTCTTCAGTGGAAAGAGTTTCACACCTTGGGAAGTTTCAGATCCTCCCATGCAACTTGCACCTTAAATGTTTATGGTACCACAAATGAGGGTTAACTCCCTGTCCCATAGAATAAAGGAAGAACGCTGTCTCTGGGTTTTTTTTTTTCTTTGCACAATAGTAGATGACTTAAATTTACACACTATTTACACAATTTTATTGAGAGAACTGGAAATCAGGGTAGTGGATCATTTCACACTTTTTCTCTATTAGCTTCAATCTAAAGCTCACCTGTAAGGGATGTCCAAGGATGGAGGGAGCTTTGTAAATATCGCAGAGTGGTCTCAAGATTTCAGTGCCCCCTAGGTCTGCTTCTAAATCCTGCACTCTTTTCATGGCCTCCTCCATTGTTTCCTGAGAGTACTTCACACTCTCCCTTAAAGAAACAAGCATGACTAGTCACATGGCAATAGTGCAACTTGCTATTCCTGTTACAAAATGACTATCACAAAATATTGTTCCTATTTCAAAACTACTCTGTCACATTAAAAGTGCAGATCGTCCTTTAAAGTACATTCTTTTACATTCCATGGTTTTCACAGAAACTTACAGGAAGAATTTTTCATAGGAAGATCCAAATCCATAGATGTTGAAATAACACCCCATAGGCAAACTCTTCAGCAATAGCAGCAGAGTTTCCTGAGTGTGAGAGATGAGGAGATGGAGTGAGAGAAAGCTCAACCAAACATCCAGACCCCAGTCTGGTTCCTGATGATATAAAAATACATCATGTTATGTCACCTTTTATTTTAAGGCTGGGATCAGAATGGGCATGCTTATTATTGCTCAAATGGAGAATAGAACTACAGCTATAAGTTGACCATACACATGCCCTCCCCAACCATCCTCACATGGCACTGCTGAACAATGAAGAATCTTGCTTTACCTTGGCAGCCTCTATGCGTAACTGAGAATGCATCTGGTTGTTCATGGGCAATTCCATACTTCCTGAGCGGTCCATGAGGAACACAAATTCTCCACAGGCCTTTGAGGCCTCTACTTCTGGGATATCTGGATAGAAACTCACCATTGCAGAAGGAGCTCCCATCAAACTATCTGTACATAAATGAGAAGAACCCTGTAAGGTACAAGGTAACACAAGTGTCCTAGAGTTCCCAAGAACCAATTGTCAATTCAATAGAGAACTGAGAAGCTCCAAAAAAAAAAAAACCCTCTTGTTTACTCTTCTTGTGCTGTGTGCACAGGAGTAAATGTGAGTTGTCAGCATAAAAGAGAAGGAAGCAGGACAGGAGTGAGAGGAAGGAAAACACAGTAAGAGTTAACAGACAAAAAAACAACTTAGCAGTATCAGTATGTGCAAATTCTAGGCACCCTAACAATTGAATAGGGTACATTAGTTTAACACCTTCCATCAAGAAATAAAGATACAGCCAGGATTCCCAATACAGGTAAATCTCTTCAAATCTTATTACTAGGAAAGTCATCACATGGGTCACTGATTACATCTTATGTTCCTTGAAAGCCTGCAAACTTAATTACAGAAAGGAGATGAGAAAATCTTCATGGAACCAAGGAGATGTCTCAGAAAGGAAGAAAATGAGACCTTGGTTATCACATATTACATTATAGCTTCACGAGTTTCTGAAGAGTTTCTTCCTGACTGAAGACCAAGTTTGAGTTTTAAATTTCAAGATACCCAAAAAGAAGACCAAGAAACCAACAACTGAAACAGAGCACAGAGATACAGGGAAATGAAGAAGTTACAAGAAACCCAGGGAAGCTGGGATTCCCCTCAGCAACCTCAGAGAGGAGTGGCCAAATATTGAGAGAAGAAAAAGCCCCTACATATGGTTCAGCATGAAGTCACCGTTGTCAAATATTGATAATGTTATATTGGTGGGGATTGAGTATAAAAACTCAGCATCTTGGTAAAATCCACATGGTGCATATTACTACCCTGGCATTAATCCAAGCCCAGCTGTCACACTGAGAACACAATGGCCGCCAAAGGATCTTCCGTATATCGAACCTGGAAATGTAAAGTTGCAGCCACCTTCTTGGTCATGTGAGAATCCCTGCAAACTTTTGCAAAATGGGCCAGAAGAGTCAAAGGGAACAAAAACACTCATGTGGGCTATGCCAGGTTTAATAAAAGTTAAGTGCACTCATAAGGAAATGTTTTAAGTGACAATCACTAGATGTAGATAAGAGACAAAACTCACTGGCAAGCTATATGTAGTGTTAAAAAAAAGTTGCAGTAAGCTGCAACAAGACAGTTTGAGGTGAATACTTGTGATTTTTTTTTCATAGTTTAATCTCTACAGGACACAGAGGACCTAAAATAAATTTTGTTTTGGCCACTCCTATTAATCTTAATTAAAACTGAAAGAACTGGCAGGAAGGTTACATCCAGTTGCGATGAATTAATCAATAACATATATGTATTGAAAATGAAATTATTGTCCATGTAAGAAAGATTATTATTTCTATATTGCCTACATTATAGTCAAGTTACTTTCCTAATCAAACTATTATTTTATAAAGTTATTAGGAACTATAACTACTTTTTCTTTCTTATTATTTTGAGACCTTCTATCTAATTTTTTTGTTAATGTACATTATTATAGTAACATTATAACTCATCAAGTACCTGATGACACAAATAGTGACTACATTATGTTTTTCATCATTTATTAATATTGGATACCATTAAATTATCAGTCAATATCATCTGCATAGCATATAGACATTTAGTTTTATTTCAGAAGATTGGGTAATATTAGAATTGTCAAAATAAGTATTCACTTTACTATTTGAAGTCCAAGTACTTTCAAAACATTTGAAACTAATTGGTTTGTTTTAACACTATCTCACAATGTAAGTTCATGCTCATCACAGAATGTAAAAATGAGGCTTTATCAGATTTGAACAGCCCTGACCCTATGAAAGAAATAGTAACTAGGTTATTTTTTATTTGCCATTTTTGTAAGATCACATTGTCACATTGTGATAATATTCTGAATAACTTTTTATCAATACTTTTGTCATACTTTCCCTCTAATTATCTAGTAATCCATGTAAATTAGCTTATAGTATATGATCACCTGATTACTTATTAAGAGCCTTCTTTTTTCCATGTGGAAATGAAAAGTCAATACTTCAATGGCCATATACTGATCCCAGAGAGCATTAGAAAATCAAGGCTAATTGGTAGTTACATGTTAGAAAGGGACCATCGTGGGAGACAGAAAATACCTGGCTTCATGTCCTGCATCCCCATCTCCACAGCTACACTGGGACTGTGCACTTCATTGTAGTAAATCAAGAGTTCCACATCCCGGTCAAACTTGTGTCCTTCAGCCAAGGAAACCTGAGTAGCAGACCAGTAGATCACCACCACTGATTACTTCCAGAGATAAGATCAGAGTTCAGGGTTGCAGGATACTTCGGTGATGATACAATCAGTAGTACATGAAAGACTATTTGAAAAAGAGTCTACACGTTGCTCAGAGTAGGAAAAGTAGATACTGTGTCTCTCCAAGCATGGTCAGAAAAAGCAAGGGAGATATGGGAAGAATGAACGATGACCAAATCAACAATGAAGACAGAGGGGACTGACAATAGTGTTCTCTTTCTATTCACCTGAGCAGATGTCTTGTCATCAGCCAGGTACTGCATAGGACTCAAAGAGCAGTTGGACTGGACCCTCTCAATGCCATGCTGAGAAGTGATGGTGGCAACCATGTTGAGTGTGTAGGGTAGATTCTCCAAAGGGACTATGGGGGTCTTTATATTCAAGCAACTATTTGCAGATTGTTCTACAAAAAAATATATATATTAATTTTGTTTTCCATGTCAACAATTTCCAGCACAATCATAATTTGGAGTATTTCTTCAGCCTTTCTATGTCTAGTTTTCGAAGGCAGAAATGACTTACCAGAGAGCTGGTATCTTGGATTCAAGATGGCTGGGAGCACATAGCGCAGGGCCCCATCTGTCTCCAGAGGCAGCTCCTGCACATACCTCAGGGTCACTGCCACTTTGGCCCCAGGCTGGAGGTTCCCCACAGTGCAAGAAAAGACATCCCTGGAGTAGTCATCCTCTTCCAATAAGGAAGCTTGGTGGCCCTGGGAGAGGGCATCCTCATATTTGCTACGGGCCTAGAGCAAGAGTGGGACAGGTCGAAATAAAATCGTATAAATTCAAGAAAATAAAGACTTTTCTGAAGATGTGTCATGGATTGTATGAACATTATAATTATTGTGGTAGCTTCTACTAGATTCTGTCTGTCTTATTGATTTTAGGCAAAGAGTAACTAGAGGTGAATGAAAGAACAGTCAACATCAGCATTTATGAATTTTTTATAAAGATAAAAAGTAGAAATCAATTTGAAGTGAGAGGAGAAGAGATAATGTATGTTGTGGTCCAAGCATTATCTAGTGAAAATACATGTGACAATCTCTAGGCTAACACCCAAAGTGCAAAGCTTTGGGGATCTGCCTTTTGAATAACCGATGCCATTTCGGCAAAACCATTGTGAAGGTATAACATTTCTTTCTTTTTTTTTTTTCATGGAGAGATTCATCCCAAATAACACCAAATTAAATTAATCAATTATTGACCATAACCTCCTCATGTGGTACTACACTGGATGATTTTTCATTTGGCTGTATAATCTTGATATATATAATACATACTGGGTGCCTTGATTTTTTGAAAAGGCTCCAGAGAAATGAAATTCTTATCACTCAGGCACCAGCAGCAAGAAAGCTTCTACTTGGCCTGGAGGCTGGAACTGCCAGGCTGTGGATTTTACACTACCACAGTTCCCCTTTAATCTAGACACCTTAGGTGTTATCTGTAGAGATCAGATTCCATTCCCTTTGATCAGCAAGCATTTGGTTAAAGTATCAATATGGACCGAGCACCATCTCTTTCCTTCCCTCAGCTTACCTTAGTTGCCATGGCTGCCAAAAACACTGTGTTCCCAGCCTCTACATGAAGGAAAGTGCTTAGAAAGGGCAATGTGTGCTTTTTTCTTTTTCTACAATTATCAATTACAAATTTCTAGCTTAACTAACCAAAAAATATATTTAATTCACAAATTCCTTTCCCCCCTCTTGGAAATCATAGCCCATTTCTTTATATACTTTCATCAGATATGCCCAAGTGCTTCATAGCCATGTTCCCTCTGAGACCTAAGCAAGGTAACAGGCACCTGCTTTGGTAGCCTATTCTGATGTTTAGGCCTTTGGAATGCATGCCTGATGTCCTTGTTATTGCTATCAAGTTCTTTTTTTTTTTTTTTTTTTTTTTTTTATTTTTCGAGACAGGGTTTCTCCGTAGCTTTTGGTTCCTGTCCTGGAACTAGCTGTTGTAGACCAGGCTGGCCTCGAACTCACAGAGATCCACCTGCCTCTGCCTCCCGAGTGCTGGGATTAAAGGCGTGCTCCACCACCACCCGGCTTGCTATCAAGTTCTTAATCATGCCTGTGTAAGTATATAAACCAAAAATCTTGTGGGATAGTAAGAACTTTGGAAGAACATCCAGAGAACACTGATAGAGAGAGATCATAGAGAAAGCATTGGAGGGATATTTTTTCAAAGAATAAAGAGACATGAGAGGAAAATGTGTTTGAGCTGATTTGTCCACCCTCAGGTCTCTTTTAGTCAGTTTTTGCTTGCTATAGTGTTCCTTCTGGATCCTGAGAGATTTAGGGGGATGTCATCACACATAAATCTTGAAAAATTTACTCATCCTTCCAACCTGCATTTTCTCCTGCAATTCGGCCACAATTTTCTTCCCATCCACCGAGGCTTCAAAGCTGTAGACAGCAGAGTCTTCATCCATGGGGAACACAAAGATTGCCTCCAAGGGGACTTTCTCCTCATTCTCATAATTTAAGGTTGCTGAGACACTAGCCACAAAGTCATTGATGGACAAGGTTACTGAGATGCTCTTCAGTGGCACTGAGGAAGATACAAATGTATAGGAGATCAGCCAACTTTACAAGAGTGGCACCACAGATGAGTTGTGCTGGGTCCAATGACCTCATCAATAAGAGTTGTAAGTCAGGCTTACCTGGCTCCTTGTTGCCAGTTATTAGACCACAGTGCTGCTCCATGGTGACTGCACGTTTCTGTGGAAATGACACATCATTAAGAGGTTCATGATAGGGTTACAATATCAATAACTACAGCTTCTGTGCTTCTCTCTAGCAGGAACAGCTTCAAATTCTTAGTGTGGGGCTAAGGATACATGGTGAAAAGGAGGGGAGATGCTGGCGTTAACCCTCCTGATTAATGCTGCTCAGGTGGGGAGGCTGTAAGTGTCCGCTGAACAGGAAATCTCCGAAACACCATAAAGTGCCACAAGCACCATTCTATATTTACAAAGAGTGTCAAATAAACTATCCACAGGACTTGGATAGGTACCATAATTTAAGTCCAGTCTTCTTCACCTGAGAATCAGAGCCATTTTTAATATTTTATTTACTTTTGTATTGTATGTATGAATATCTGCCTGCATATCTGTGCATTAAATGCAGGAAGATATGCTTATACATGTTATACAAAGCAGGGGACAGAAGAGGACACTGAATCTAATGGGACTGGATTTGCAGATGGTTATAAGCTGCTATGTAAGACATGAAATTTGCACTTTGGTCCTCCAGAGTAGAAGGCACAGTTCATAAAGACTGACCTGACACCTCAGCTTCTATTGCCACTTTTTCCAAGCATACCTGTGAGATTCAAATAGCACCCAATATTATATTCCTCATATTTAATCACTGTTCTTTAATACTTAGTATTGAAAATACCCACTGTTTTATTTTTTATATTTATTTCCAACACATTTCCACATGACTCAGTACTGGTCCAATGTAGATTGATTGTGATTTCCTTAATTCCAAATAAACATCTATGTCATCTTGTCTGACAGACCCCCCCCCCCCGATATCTATCACATTGCAACCAATGCTCAGAGAACAGAGAGAAGTGTCAGAAAGTTTCTAAGAGCTCAACGTCACAGAAGACTATCATAAGTCAGTGCCTTGCATCCATGACAGGATCATTGTAGTCATGAACTCAAAGTAGGTGTTGTTACCTGCATAAGACATGCACCATCAAAACAGTCAATATTTTAGCACAGATCTGGGAGTAGCACATACAGTCCAATCCCTACTTAAGGAGCTTTGTGTTTGATATTTTCTTGTAGTGAGACAATCACTTATTTTTCCTTTAGGGAATTGGTTCCTAAAGTAAGTTGTCCATACTCCAAATGATGACCCTGCACTTCTGTACATATTGACAACACAATTGGATTCAATAGGTTAATTATATAAAATGATATGCTTTTGGGAGACAGACATTTTAATGGTTGGGACAACCTGGAAGTTGAGACTCAAGGGGATATAATTAAAAGAGGAACATGGGATGTACTCACTCATATTTGGTTTCTAGCCATAAATAAAGGACATTGAGCTTATAATTCGTGATCCTAGAGAAGCTAAATAAGAAGGTGAATCCAAAGACAAACATATAGGCATCCTCCTGAATATTAACCTTCATCAGGCGATGAAAGGAGACAGAGACAGAGACCCACATTGGAGCACCGGACAGAAATCTCAAGGTCCAAATCAGGACCAGAAGGAGAGAGAGCATGAGCAAGGAACTCAGGACCGGGAGGGGTGCACCCACACACTGAGACAATGGGGATGTTCTATCGGGAACTCACCAAGGCCAGCTGGCCTGGGTCTGAAAAAGCATGCGATAAAACCGGACTTGCTATAGCGGACAATGAGGACTACTGAGAACTCAAGAACAATGGCAATGGGTTTTTGATCCTACTGCACATACTGGCTTTGGGGGAGTCTAGGCAGTTTGGATGCTCACCTTACTAAACCTGGATGGAGGTGGGCGGTCCTTGGACTTCCCACAGGTCAGGGAACCCTGATTGCTCTTTGAGCTGATGAGGGAGAGGGACTTGATCGGGAGAGGGGGAGGGAAATGGGAGGCGGTGAAGGGGAGGAGGCAGAAATCCTTAATAAATAAATAAATTAAAAAAAATAAAAAACAAACAAACAAAAAATATATTGCACACACCTATAACATTTTCAAAAGATAATTTGAAAATATATATTTTAAAAGACATTCTTACACATAAAGATGATATATGTACAATACTTTTCTTTCTTTTAAAACTAATGACTTTAAATATATTTCATGAATTATGTATTTGTACACATGTTTTAAGTAATATGAAGACAAAGAGATAGATTGATTTTACAAAGTAGTGATTTACATGATTATTTTATACACAGTGCATAAAGATTGGACTAAACCCAATCATGGTCCCAAATAACCCTGGAAGCTGTTCTGGGCTTTTCTAAACCAGATCATTTGCTAACTTGTCTCTCATATGGTGACCAGAGTGTCCAACACCAACAAGGGTGGTTTTCACTGGAAATCCATCCTAAGGCATAGAAGGGCCCAGCTGGAAGCACACATAGTGTTTGTTCAGTTTCCTAGATGCCCAGCCTTCACTTTCAGATCAGGCTGGAAAACCCTCTTGAAGGAACATCTTTCCATCTCTGGCAATACAAACCAGCAATTCTGAAGGTTTGAGAGGGCTGTTTCTAGGTCCTTTAGGCTGATCCTAAGTACCATTTACAACTCTCAGACTTGGGTTATAGCTCAGTTTAAAAAACAAACAAACAAACAAACAAAACTTGAGTTCCCTATTTACCATAGCCCTGGCTGAAGGCTGGGGACACCTCCTTCATCTCCTTGGAAACCATCCCTCTGATATGAGTGGTGTTTTCTATACAACTTAAATTAACCACACAAATCAATCAAAGAATGAGCTATGTTTCTACACTTGCTATTTTGGACTATGGGAAGAGTCCTACAACATTAGAAGGGCTCAGATGTGGGCAGCAGCACAAAGGTAGCAGGTAAGCAAGGAGGAGGAAGACAGCAAGCCTTGGGAAGGATCTTCCCTGGGGACCAGTAGAGGAGCCTAGAACAAAGGGAAAAGAATTTCTACTGACAGCAACAGGAAGTGTAGAGCAGGAGACTCACCTGAGTAGCTCAGTATATGAATGGACCCTATCTGGAAGCAGAGATCTCAGGAGTCTGAGAGAGGAGAGAGGATGATCAGGGTGCCCTACAAAGAAATGGTGATTTCCTGCTTCAAACCTAAGAAGAAATTTATCTCAATGAATGTTTCATCCTCTCCCTGACCCATCCTGAGTCTGCAAGTTTAGGCAAGCCTTCAAAGGCTGTGAGGAAAAGACTGGTTCCAGAGGTGACTAAAGTTCAACCTTAAATTGGATGCAGCAATAGAACCAAGAGCCCTGAGAGTTAAATCCTTCTCTCAGTTGCATGCAGAGAGCAGCAAGTGTCAGCAGGCCACACCCTGCTGTTTACTGCATCAGGAAGAGGAAGAATCTGGGCTTCAAGCCCAGAAAGGCTACTGCAGTGCGGCTTATAGAGCCTCGAATAAAAAGAGTTATTTAATATGTAGACTCTCTATTTAAGTTCTTCAGTTCCAGGTATTTTGAAAAAGGCATAAGTTCCATTTCTCAGATATGAATGGATTAGTTGGGTGGAGAATGAAAGCTGCATTTCCTTAGGGAAAACTTACCTAAAACTGAGAAAAGAAAAACAAAACCAAGAAGAAACAAGAAAGACACATTTTGTGAGTCAGAGGAAGAGTGAAAATAAGAAGAAGGTGGGGGGAGATGAACCTGAAAACGAGGTCATTTTTATACTATTAATCTAGAGAAATCTTGAGGCATCATAGGCCAGGATGAGTTTCTACTGCTACCACTCCCAGACCCCAGGGCTTCCAGCTAAAATGCATTTACAATTCTTTGTGGGGCTGGCTAGAACAAAAGGTTCTTACCCTTCAGATGCAGCAGGTAGGGTTCTCCCCAGAGAGCAGAGCAGAGTCTGCATCCACTTCTGCAAGTCCCCTCAGCTTAGAGTGCTGTAAAGGAAAGTGAAAGCTGCTGGTGTCAAACATTCAGCAAGACCTGCCCGCTTCTAGGGATCAGCTATAAAGTTTCAATTGTATGATAAAGGGATGGACTGAAAATTCTCAGTCAAGTATTGAATCTCTGCTTGTTGTTTAATGAAAGCTTTTTTTTTAAATTAAGAACAATTATCAGTTTTCCTCCTGCTTTGTCTACACAGAGAAACAATGTAGGGCAGTCAAATGTGGGGGTTTTGTTTATTGAGTTGAATGTTGCAGCTGTACTATCTAAAACTGATAAAAAACACTGTACAGCTGTAAAGACACAGAAAAGTTTAAGAAGCTTTACGTGATTAGGATCTGGTTAAGACACATGCCCTTTACAACATCATAGGAGTCAGCAGGGAAAAAAGCAACTCTCCCTAGCAGCTAGCCCCCTGACTACACCCATCTTTGTGGTCTGGACAGGAGCAGAAGATAACTGCTTGGAGGGAGGCCAGGGGGCATGCACAGTAGCAGAAGTAGCTGCTTAAAGGAGGAATAGGATATACAGAAAAAATACTCATTAAAACTAATCGGCTTGACCCTGAGGAAACCTGGCTTGTGCTACCTCTAGTAGTGGCCACGCCCTCAGCCTGGTTGGAGAGCATGCTAAATAAACCTTGCTTTTGCCTTCTGGACTTGACTGCATTCCGGTGGTGGTTTCTCTGAAGATCACAACTTGAGCACCACACAGTTTTGCAACAAGCTTGATAGATAAGAGCATCCTAGCTGCTACATCTGATGAACAGAAAACTTATGAGTATCATATGTTAAATTGGCTTTGGTCAATAGGCTACACCTGGAGCTAGGACATACATGTCTGTTTACAAATATTTTTGTCTTAAATTGTGTGTTGTTGAATCTATAAAATTAGTATAAATTCATCATTATCTCCTGGATGGTTTTAAGGTATAATAGGTCAACATGGATATGAAGGCTATGCATATATTTGCAAACGTATAATAAATCACAGCATCACGTAGATTCTCTTTTATGAATAATGAAAAATGTTTTAATATTTTGAACTAATTGTGAAAGACAATGAATCTGTGTAGCAGTCTTATCCTGTGTTGTTCCCCCTCCACACTGTAGCTGATCTCTGTT